AGTAGTAGTAGTAGTAGTAGTAGTAGTAGTAGTAGTAGTAGTAGTAGTAGTAGTAGTAGTAGTAGTAGTTGTAGTGGTCGTCGTTGTAGTGGCAGGAGTCGCAGACGTTCTCGTAGTAGGAGTAGTCATCGTAGTCGTAGGTGTAGCAGTAGTAGTGGCAATTCGAGTTTCTGCTGTGCAAAGAGTGGTGGTGGCATCGCTAGTTTTATGGGTACGGCTATGACTGACAGCGCTGCTACGACTTCTTCTTGTGCTCGTACTACTATTGTTTCCAATGCTATTGCTACTTTGTTCTTCTTCTACTGCTAATAGCCGTCGTCGCCGCCAGTCGTCGTCCTCGTCGTCGTCGCCGTCCTGGAAGGTCGTTGTCGTCTTCGTATTCGTATCCGTTACCTTTGATGTTCTTGTCGTCGCGGCTGTTGGTCGTCGTCGTCTTTGTCGTCGTCGCGGCTTTTACTGGTCCTCCCACTACTGCTCGTACTGCCACTACCATCACGACTGCTAGTACGACGCCCAAGGCCGCCACGTTACCGTTACCCCCCCAGGGCGGTCGGATCCCCACCTCTCTTCCCCCTCGGCACAGACGTTCCGGACGTGAGTGAAAAGATTGTGTTGCATCTTCGGGGGACCTCGCCTGTCCCCAAAATTGTTGTCTTTTTGGGGGCCCGACGCGTGCTCCATGCGGACTCGACGCGGATTTGGCGTGGATTCGACGAGGATTCGACACGGATTCGACACGGATCCGACGCGTCCGACATGGATTCGTCACGGATTCGACGCGGACAGGGCCGCGACGGGACAGACAAGGTCCCCCGAGCATGCGACATGAAAAAGACGTTCCCAAATTCCCTCGTGCTCTTCCTTTCGGATGCAACTCCTGGGAGGTCAAATTCTGATTTTGTCTTGGTCCGAAATCCGGCTTAATCCCGCTTAATCCCGCTTAATCCGGCTTAATGCCGCTTAATCCCGCTGAATCCGGCTTAATCCTGCTTAGTCCGAGGCCCACTCCGGCGGAACAGCTCCCAAATGGAGCTTAATCCGCCGTAATCTTTCCGACGAAAACCTCCCAGTAGTTGCCTCCTAGCTTCCTACTCCACGCTCCCCTCATTCCCCCCCGTCTCCCCCCTGTGCCTGCTTGGCTCCCTCGCTGGCGCGGCGGGCCCTCCCGGCACCGCCGCCCAGCGTGGGGCCGGGCAGCGCTGGGGGCGGCCGTGCTTGCACGGCCGCTGGCTCTCGGGCCCTGTCGCCCTCAGGTTCACTGATGGGCTTGTTTTCCACCACCACCACCATAAGTTGGAGGGGGAGGGGGTCCTCCTCCTCCTCCTCCTCCTCCTCCACCTCCTCCTCCTCCTCCTCCTCCTCCTCCTCCTCCTCCTCCCCCTCCCCCTCCAACTTATGGTGGTGGTGGTGGAAACCAGGCCCATGATTCACGCTGGGAGCCCTTTAAAACAGGGCTAGGATCGGGATAAGTCGCTCCAGAGCGTTCCGGAGCGCTCTCAGAGCGTTCCGGAACGCTCTGGAGCGGCGGCGCCCAATACATCCTCGAAAAAAACCCGCCGATCCTCAGAGATTTCGAGTCATCCCGATCCGATTTTGTCCCGATCTTCGCGTCGTTTTACCCTTGCATCCCCCGCTGAGTGGGGCCGTCTGAAATTGTTGCCGCCCCACTGTGCCGCGCGCTGCGCGAGCACCTGGCAACTCGTTCCGCTGACCAGGCGCCGGGCCGTCGAGGGGGGATGCCCCAAGGCGGCGATCTCTCCCAGGGTCCTCCTCCTCCTCCTCCTCCTCCTCCTCCTCCTCCTCCTCGTCCTCCTCGTCCTCCTCCTTTCCCGTTTCCTCCTCCTCCTCGTCCTCATCCTCCTCGCCCTCGTCCTCGAGGCGGCGATTTCTCCTAGGGCCCCGAAGCGCGCAGGCCAAAGCGCGCCGAAAGCCGGTGCTTTCGTCTTGTCGGGTGTGCGGACAGGGTGTGTTTCACCCTGGTCGCCAGGAGGACGAGGAGGAGGAGGAGGAGGAGGAGGAGGAGGAGGAGGAGGAGGAGGAGGAGGGGGCCCTAGGAGAAATCGCCGCCTTGGGGCATCCCCCCTCGACGGCCCGGCGCCTGGTCAGCGGAACAAGTTGCCAGGTGCTCGCGTAGCGCGCGGCACAGTGGGGCGGCAACAAATTCAAACGGCCCCACTCAGCGGGGGATGCAAGGGTAAAGCGACGCGAAGATCGGGACAAAATCGGATCGGGATAACTCGAAATCTCTGAGAATCGGCGGTTTTTTTGGAGGATGTTTTGGGCGCCGCCGCTCCAGAGCGTTCCGGAACGCTCTGAGAGCGCTCCGGAACGCTCTGGAGCGATTTATCCCGATCCTAGCCCTGTTTTAGGGTGTGTTTCACCCTGGTCGCCAAACCGTTCGTTTTCCAGTCGGGATCCCTTCGACTGCGCCGAGGGGGAGGCTTCGGCCCCCCGTTCCGGTTCCTTGCAGTCCCTCCCGCCGGTGTGAGGCTGGCCCAGGCGACAGTTGTACCCGCCTGGCCCAGCCACCCGTGTCCGAATTGTTGCGATTTCTTCCCCCCTTTCCCCCACCCCTTCGGTCATCCAGCCCCCTCTAGGATTCCCAATGCTTTTTCCCAGCAGAGACCACCAGATTGATATAAACACGCTGTATACCTCCATTCCTCCTCCTCCCTCTTACTTCCTGTCTCTCCCTATCTCTCTCTCTCTCTCTCTCTCTCTCTTTCTTTCCCCCTCTCCCTCTCGTTCTGTTCCTCTCCATATATGTTTTATGTTCTCTAGTTGTTTTATGTTGTTGTGTTTTTGTGTTTTCTTTCTCTCTCTCTCTCTCCCTCTCTCTCTATATATATACATATTCATGTTGTGTGATCTCTCTCATGTTTTGTTTTATTCTCTCTCTCTCTCTCTCTATATATATATATATATATACTTATACACGCATACATACATGTTTTTTGTGTGCTTCTCTCTCTCTCTCTCTCTTTCTGTGTTTCTCTCTTTCTCTCTCTCTCTCTCTCTTTCTCTCTCTCTCTATATATATATATCTATATATATATATGTATGGCTATCCTTCTCTCTTTATTTATGTATGTTTCTCTCTCTCTCTCTCCTTCTTTTATATATATATAGAATAAGAATAGTCACAATCATACTCATAATCATAAGCATAATAATGATAACCATCGTCACAGTCATAATCATAGCATATTAAAAATGATAAATGCCGCTCCCCCCCTGGCCCCGGCACACCTCCACGCCGCATCTCGGGACCGCTCCCGGTATGGCTCCCCCTGCCTTTCCGGGGAGCCTCCACAGCTTCCCAGGAGCCCCCAGAAGGCGAAAGGATGGCCCAAGACGCTCCCAAGTATCGGAGGGCACCAACTATACACCAACACCGATCCTGGCCCAGGATCACCCTGGGCCCAGGATCGGTGTATATGCCTTCTTGCGCAAGGCAGGAGGGCGTATACACCGATCCTGGGCCCAGTGTGATCCTGGCCAGGATCGGTGTTGGTGTATAGTTGGTGCCTTCCTAAAGTAGCCCAAGTCAGCCTTCCGACGGCTCTCGAGGCTCCCAGGTGGCCTCCAAGAGACCCCAAGAGGGGTCCGAGAGGCGTCCCGGGACGGCCCGAGGAGGCCAAAATCGTCGATTGTCGTTGGTTTTTTCAATGTTTTTGGCTTCTCGCGTTTTCGAGCTTCCAGAGAGACGTCAGGACGGCCTCAGGACGGGCCAAGACCACCCAAGAGACCCTCAGGACGGCCCTAAGACGGGCCAAGAAGGCTCCAAGACTGCCGAAGAGGCGCCCGGGACAGCCCCAGACCACCCCAGAACATGCCCAAGATGGGCCCAAGAGCGGGAGCGGGAGGCTTCCAGAGACCTCCGAGAGGCCTCCGGGACCCCCCAGAGGCCCCCAACACCCCGATCCCTGGGAGGCCCCAAAAAGACCCCGACGAGGCTCCAAGAACAACCCGAGAGAGCTAAGAGAGCCTTCCCGAGAGAGCCCAAAGAGGGTAAAGTCGTTGATTTCCAATCGTTTTTCTAATGTGTTTCGCCTTCTCACGTTTTCCCGCTTCCAACCCTCGAAGATCGAGCATTTAGAAAAAAATGGGAATTCCCAGAATTCCCTTTTTTTTGTCAAAGTGGATTCCTACTCGGAGATCCCACACATCCCCTGACGTCTGGCCGGTACCGCGCCTCCCGGCTTCCCCGGGGGGCCCCCAGGACGCCCAAGGACGGCCCAAGACGACCCCAAGGAGCCCCCAGAACGCAAATCACGGCCCACCACGCTCCCGCGCAGCCCGAGACACCCTCCCGACGACTCTCCAGGCCTCCAGGAGGCCTCCAGAAACCCTCGGGGGTCCGGAAGATCCCACACCCCTGAGGGGCCCGGCTAACAAAAAGGCGCGAGGCACAAACAAGAAGCAGCGCCGAACAGCGCCGAGGAAGTGGAAAACATGGAAATCCTACAATTCCTTTTTTTCCAAGTTTGGCCCCCGGTCTACTCTCGCACAACAGACCACAATTCAGACCCCCCTCACCTCCCCCAAAAGAACCCAAGAAGCCTTTGAGGGCCCAAATCGTTGAACACCTAAAGGAAATTAATGATTTCTGCGTTTCCGCACTTTCCCTTCCATACGATTTCGAGGCTTGCGCAGGGCCTCCAAGGGAGCCCCTGGACGCAAGAGGCGACCAAAATGATATTACATGAGTTAACCTATCAAGCCTAGCTAGAACTTGAGCGCGCGCGAAGCGCGCGCGATGGTTCTAGTGTGCATACATACATATATATAGGTTTATGCATATGTATATGTATATATGTATATATATATATATATGCATGTGTATGTATATGTATACGTATATGTATATGTATACGTATATGTACATGTATGTGTATATGTATGCGTATGTGTATATGTATCTGTACCCCGCTCCGTCTTTCTCTCCCTCTCTCTCTCTCTCTGTCCCGTGTAATCGCCTCCCAAGCGGGCGCCTGCCCAGGTGGACCTCCAGGAGTACGGGCGCGCCACGCCCCCGCCCAACGCCACGTCCACTGAACCGCTGGCGGTGACCTCGGGCGGCAGAGCCCACGCGCTCGTGGGGCGCCTTGCTCAGCGGGCATCCCCCTCGGCCTGCTGTTATTCCTCTCGTCCTCGTTCCTGCTCGATCTTTTTCGCGTTCCCTTCTCTTCGTCCTCCGTCATCATTTGTTTATCATCCGTGTGCTATTATCCTCCTCCTCTTCCTCTTCCTCCTCCTCCTCTTCCTCTTTGTCCTCCTCCCCCTCCTCCTCTTCCATTTCCCCTTCCATCTCGTCCAGTTTCCCATCCTCATCATCACCATCAGCATCACCATCATTATCATCACTACCATCATCACCATCATCATCACCATCATCATTATCACCATTACCATTCCTCCTGCTCATCTCCTTCCCCCTCTGGCTCCTCATCCTCCATCCTGTTCCTCTTTTGCATCGTCGTCCGCCTCCTCGTCCCGCCTTCTCCTCATCCTTCTCCTACTCGGTAACCTTGCCTTTCTCACCCCGTTCGTGCCCGTGTCCTCACTTCACTGCCTTGCTACCGTCCACTGCCTTGCTACCGCGTCCATTCACAGCCTGGCCAGGCAGCGTGCCCGTCTTAGACGCGCTGTACAACCTTCGTTTCCTTGTGCGGAACCTTGGTTCCAATACGACGGCCGCCATGTCTTGCCGCGCCTCGATGGCCATGGACATGGCCCTGGCTCTCCTCCGCCTTCCGTCATTTCGCTGTTCATTTTGATCTGCCTCATCCAGCTGTATTTCTGACTTCGTCGTCTTCGTGCACTTGCTCCCGGTCGCCATGGCAGGAGACGCCGCCCCGAGGTCCGCCGGGGCAGCACCTGCACATCTGTCAGGCCCGGCGACGGGGAAGGTGCACATCTACCCCAGCAAGCCGTTCAACGAGACCTACAAAGAAACCCTGGCCGCGCCGCCGCCGACGACGACGACGACGAACCCCGCGGCGCGCTGGAGTTCTCATCGATCCCTCCCAGGCTAGCACGGATTGTGTCAGTACTGCTCGCGGACCTTGCGCGGTCGATGCGTCTGCGCGTGGTCGTGACCGAAAATGTCAAACGGTTGCCCGACGCAGCGCTCATATCTACGGTGCCAGTTATAAGGGCCCCGAGCTTCTGGCGACTGCGTCACGGACGCCTTGAGAGGAGGAGGCAGAGAAGAAGGGGAATGCAATGGGGGGTCCAGCGACTGCGTCGCCAGCGCTTCCGAGGGATAGCGGAGCGGATCTGGGAGAACCCTTCGACCTCTGGGTGCACGACTTCTCGCTATACCAGCGCATCCCCAACAGCTCGGCGGGGCTGGGTTCCGACGCGCACACCTCTTGACGATCGTGCAGTTGGCGGCGCTCAACGCAGGGCAACGCGACGCGCGAGGAGGATGCCCCTGACTGCGTCGCGGGATGCCCCGAGTACCCGGAGCATCACAGGCGCGCGACGGCAGCGCGCGCCAAATGCGCATGCGACGGAGAACACGTCCGGAGCAGGCGCCCAAGGCGGCTAGGATGTGCATTTCCCGAACTGCGCCGCCTGTGGGCCCCGGGCCCCCCGCGCCTCTACGACGCGCGGAGGGAGCTGCATTCCATATGGAAGGCCATCGGAGCGGGCATGAGTGCCATCGCCAGCTGCCGCCCCCGCGCGCGCATGCGGCGGCGGCGGTGGCGACGCGCGGCGCCTCCGCGCCTGGGGGCCCCAGCAGCGGGCTCGAGTGCCATTCCAGAGATGGGCGCGCGAAGTGATGATCTGGTCAGTGGCGACCTCAGATCTCAACGAGTTCCATGGGGCGGCCCACGTCTCGTCGCGCTTCGCCGGCGCGTCGCGCGAGAGCGCGGACGAGTGGCCGCCGGCTGCCTGCGCCCGGGGAGGTCTCGTCAACGGCCGCCCAGCGCCGCCGATGATTGCGCGTTGCTTGGCCGAACGGCGGGGCCAATGGGGGGGGGTCGCGTTTCGGCAGCGTCGGCGCTCGTGAACTTCTACAGACAGCCGCGAGAGCGCAGCGACGACGCCCTCGCGCGGTTCGACGTCCTCCGCAGACGGGCGCACCAAGCTGGTCAAGTCACGATAGGCTGCGAGGGCCTCGCGTTCCCCCTGCTGCGCGCAGTTGGCGCGTCGAGCATCCAACTGGCCATGCTCTCGCGGCGCCGCGACGCGGCCTGCCCCGCGACCGCCCGTCAGCTCGCGCACGCGGCCAGCCGGCCGCGGCGCTATGGGCGCATGATCGAGGGATCGCCGGGCAAGCTCGCCTCGGCGGCCCACTCTGCCTGCCCGACGGCGCGCCTGCCACGCGGGCGCGCCTGCGCGAGATCAGGATCAGTGCGCCTGCGGCGCCGTGGCCGGATCGAGCTGGGGCGGCATGGGCTCAGCCGCGCTGGGGGCGGCGCCGGGCCCGCCCGCACCAGCAGCAGCTGGCGGCGCCAGCGCGGCGGCGCCAGCGCAGGGGGCCCTCTCAGCTGCAGGCGTCGACCCAGGCGCTGACGACAACGCCGTCGGCCCACTCGGCGTGGGCATTGCCGCGGACGACCCCGAGCTTCGCGACGTTCAGGCGGACGTCGCGGCGCGCGCCTCCTTCTGGGCCGGCGAGCGCGCAGGGTCGCGACGGCGCAGCTTCGGCGACCGCGGGCCCGCGCGCCGCGCCCGCAGGGCCATCGAACGAAAGGACAAGGGCCGAAGTACATGCTGCCGCGCCTTCCTGGCCGACACGTCCGAGGCCGAACCCCGGGCGGGGAGATTTCGCGAGTTCCGAGCAGGGCGCGGGTGAAGGCGGGGGGGGGGTCCAGGGCCCGCGCGGCGCGGGCTCGGGCCGCCGAGGCGACCCCGCGGGCCTCTGAGGGGCGCGTCTCAAATGCCGCGAGTGCGACTCTGAAGAGCACTTCGTGCGCCATTGCCCCCGGCGCGCCGCCGTCGAGGGCGCGCGCTTGCCCTCGGCGCTCGCGCCCCGGCGCCGCCGCCATCGCCGCCGACGCCCCCGCCGCTCGCGCCCCTGGGATTGCGGGGGCCGCCAGGTTTATCCGAGCAGCAGCCCGTGCCGGGGGCGCGCGCGGCGCGGACGGACAGGGACCAGGGCCCCCCCCGGGGCTCCGCGGCCCGCGGCTGCGGGCACCGGGGAAGGCGATCCCGCGCAGCGCGCTGGCCCTTGGAACGGCGGACTTTCTCCTCCTCCTCCTCCTCCTCCTCCTCCTCCTCCTCCTCCTCCTCCTCCTCCTCCTCCTCCTCCTCCTCCTCCTCCTCCTCCTCCCCCTCCTCCTCCTCCTCCTCCCCCTCCTCTCCCTCCCCCTCTTCCTCTTCCTCCCCCGCCCCCTCGCCTCTCCCGCCCGACAAGGGTAAATCCGTTCCAAAGCGTTCCGGAGTGCTGTCAGAGAGTTCCGGAACGCTCTGAGAAGGCCGCTCCTGTATTCATCGTCCAGAACCGCCTGGTCTCAGACATCCCCCCCAGACCTCCTCGCGTCGTGAAAAAATCACGACGGGAGGTTTTTCGCTATTTTCGGCCTCTGGAGGTCCTTACCGGGCCTCGGGAGCGTCAAAAAACGACTCAGGACGAAGAACCGGTCCCGGGGAAGGGGTCCAGACCTCTGGGGGTCGACGTTGTGAAAAAATCACGACGTCGGGGGTCTGGGCCGATGTGTCACTGTCCGATGTTATCTTTCCCCCGGTTCCGTCTGGCCCTTCAGCCCCAAATCCGGCGCGCCAAGGCGCTGGGTGGTGTGGCCCTCCCTGGCGGACAGGACTCCGCCGCCAAGTCGCGCGACGGCCCTGTGGCTGCTGGATGCCTGCTCATCGCAGCCGCCGCCGTGGTCGTCATCGTCGTCGTTGTCTTCGTCTTCGTCGTCGTCGTCGATGTCGCCGTCGTCGTCGTCGTCGTCGTCGTCGTCGTCGTCGTCGTCGTCGTCGTCGTCGTCGTCGTCGTCCTTGTCGCCGTCGCCATCGTTGTCGTCGTCGTCGTCGCCGTCGTCGTCGTCGTCGTCGCTGTCGCCGTCACCGTCATCGTCGTCGTCGTCGTCGTCGTTTTCGCCGCCATCGAGGAGGGAGGGAGGAGAAGGAGGAGGACATGAGAGGGGTATGAAGAGGAAGAGGCGGGAGGAGGAGGAGGAGGAGGAGGAGGAGGAGGATGCGACAGCTGCGGAGGGGCACTAGGAGGAGGGAGGAGTTTGATTGCAGGAGGATCAGGAGCAGGATGGCGAGACAATTGAGGTTTCTGGAAGATTAGGGTTGCTGGCGGCTGTCTCCGGTTGCTTCAGGCCGCTGCCGAATCCATTTTTGCTATTCGCCATTCGCCGTTGCTGTTGGATGTTGGCGACTGCCGCTGTCGCCTGTGTGCCGAAACGAGCGTCGCCCAGATAATTAGAAGTGCGTCTTGGAGTTTTGGCGGTTTGAGCAATCAGGATAACGATGTTAGTGCATTCGAGTCTCAATCGGGATCTTCCTCCAGTTTATCCTCCCAACTGGTCGTGCTCCCATCTGCGCAGGCTTGGGTCGGTTTCGGTTGACTCCCGTCCATGCGGAGCGCCATCCTCGCCCTCGTGCCCACCTTCGTCCTCGCGTCCGTCACACGCTAACCTATCGTTCCTCCCCCTGCCCCCATCCCCTCCCCCTCCTTCCCTTCTCCACCTCCTCCTGATCATTATTGCCGTCAGCATGATCCCATCCGCTGTCGGCGGCTTTGACCGTCGCCGTCTATCCCTGCCTCGTGCTACACTCTTCGACGGTCAAGGAGTCAAGAAGTCACAATTACGCCCACTGGCGCGTGGGCGAGACAACGCGCTGCACTGTACCATGGTACTACTGAGCCGAACCTCCGGCAGCACGCCTTGGGGAGACGAATGGCACAACGTCGGGGCGGAGGCGAGATAAGTTTGTCTGAGTTCCTCGTCGACAGTATCTCCCGCAACTTCCTCTGAGTTGGGGGGAGTCCGATTAGAGTTAAGTCGGGCCTGTCCCTCTACAGGAGGAATATTCAAACATAGTCCACAAATAGTCTGGGGACTATTCTTTGCGCATGTTTTGACCATTTTGGTGCATTTTTGGAGTATGTGTTACTTTTCGTCGAAAATACCCCTGTAGGGGGACACGCCCGACTTAAGATTAGAGCGTCCTCCTCCCTCACGCCTTTGCCGATGCCTCCCTCCCCTCGCTTCTGCCATGCTGTAGGTTTCCGTTGCGTGCATTCGCGCAGTGTGTTGTGGCAGTAGGACTCGCGCTGTATGGAAACGTGCCACGGGCCAGCAGACTTTGGCGCGCCCTCGAGTCTCATCTCGCCGACGGGAGGTGGCCAGTTCATGGCTCTCTGAAGCGCGTTGGCGGGTTTTCCTCAAGCAGTTTGAGAGCAACTTCTGGCGTGAAAGTGAACCAGCGATCATATTCCCCCCCGCCCTCCAGGGAAGGGGTCGGTCTGTTCTCTGTCCCCGCCGCGTGGCCGATACCACCGGCCCCAGGGGGGGGACATTTTGTCCCGTCGTTGCACCACCGAGCGAGAGAAGCCTCGGCCTTTTAGGAAGCTCGGGAGCGTGGAGGAAACAACAAATCCCCGCCCGTGCTTTTGTCAGCGAGCGAAGAACGGTATAAAATAAACTTTCCGCCGTCGGGGACACCTGCCCCTGGGCGGCTGGAAAGTTTATACCCCTAGGGTGCCACCGTAAGGGTATAAACTTTCCAGCCGCCCTGGGCAGGTGTCCCCGACGGCGGAAACGTTTATCTTATACCGTTTCGTTCTTCGCCCGTTGATTTTGAGAAGGAGGAGGAGAGAGGGAGGAGGCGTAGGAGGAGGGAGGGAGATGAGGGCATGAGAGGAGAACGGAGGGAGAGAAAGGAGGTAGAGAGAGGACTGAGGAGGATGAGGAGGAAGGAGGTGGAAGGAGGAGGAGGAGGCGAGGAGGGAAGGATGAAGGCGGAGGAGAGGAGGAGGGAGGGAGGAGAGGCGAGTAGGAGGAGGGGAGGAGGAGGAGGAGGAGGAATGGAGAGGAGGAGGAGGAGGAGTGGAGGAAATAACAAAACAAATTCCCGCCCGTTACTTTGGAGAACACGGGCCGGCCCGGCCGACGGTGCTACGACTGCCTCTCTCCGTGGGCGGGCGGCCCCCGCCCGCGGCCCGCCGTCGGCCTGCCGGCCGCCCCCGCCCGCGGCGCCCTGCCCTGGGCGGGCTCGAGCGCCCGGGGCCGGCCCTGCCCCGCGCAGCGAGGGGGAGGAGGGGGAGGGGGGAGGCCCCTGGGGTGGCGGCGGGCGGAGGAGAGGAGGAGGGGAGGAGGAGGAGGAGGAGGAGGGGAGGAGGAGGAGGAGAGGAGGAGGAGGACGAGGAGGTAGGAGGAGGAGGAGGAGGAGGAGGAGGAGGCAGGGAGGAGGAGAGGAGGAGGAGGGGAAGGAGGCGTGTGAGGAGGAGGGGAGAGGCCCCTGGTGTGGAGGAGGAGGAGGAGGAGAGGAGGAGGAGGAGGAGGATGGAGGAAAACGAGGAGGGGGGAGGAGGAGGAGGAGAGAGATAGGAGGAGGAGGAGGAGGAGGAGGAGGAGAGGAGGAGGAGGAGAGGAGGAGGAGAGGAGGAGGAGGGGAGGAGGAGGAGGAGGGGAGGACGGAGGAGGAGAGGAGAGGAGGAGGAGGAGGAGGAGGAGGAGGAGGAGGAGGAGGAGGAGGAGGAGGAGGAGGTGGCGTCCTGCCCTGGGCGGGCTCAGCGCGCGGGGCCGTGATCGCCCGGCCCGTGCCCATCGCAGCGAGAGGGGAGGAGGAGGGGGGAGCCGCCCCCGCCCCCTGAGGTCGCCGAGCGCCCTCCCTCCCCCCCAGCGCCCCCCCTGGATCGAGGAGGGGGAGGAGGAGAGGAGGGGGGAGGCCTCCCCCCCTCCCCTGGAGTCGAGGGAAGAGAGGGAGAGGCCCCCCGCTAAATCGAGGAGGAGGAGGAGGAGGAGGAGGAGGAGGAGGGAGGAGGAGGAGGAGGAGGAAGGAGGAGGAGGAGGAGGAGGACGGGGAAGGAGGAGGAGGAGGGGAGAGGCCCACATCTCTCCCCCCATCTCCCCGCGGACCTCCCTCCTCCTCTCCACGGTGGTGGATGTGGGAGGACATGCGAGGCGTTGGGCGCCACCGCGCGACGCCACGACCGTTCTGCGCGCGCGTCGCAAGCAAGCGGTCCTCCTGCAGCTCCTCCTCCTCCTCCTCCCCCTCTTCCTCCTCCTCCTCCTACTCCTTCTTCCCCCTCCTCCTCCCCACCACTCATCCTCTCCTCCTCCTCCTCCTCCTCCTCCTCCTCCTCCTCCTCCCATCTACCTCCTCCTCTACTCTACCACCTCGCTTGTGTTCCTTCTCCAGACCGCTTGCTCTCGCAGTTCCGCGCCGCCGCTGCTGCTGCAGGCCTTCTCTTTCGGGGAGCCTGGGCTTGACGCGGACCCACGTCAAGATCCAGGGCTCCTCCCTCCTCCCCTCCCTCCCAACTCCCTCTATCCCCTTCCCCCCCCCCCCCCCCCCCCCCCCCCCCCCCCCCATGGAGGAGGAGCGGAGGAGGAGAGGAGGAGGAGAGGGGAGGAGGCAGGAGGGAGGAGGAGGAAGAGAGGAGGAGGAAGAGGAGGAGGAAGAAGAGGAGGAGGAGGATGAGGATGAGGAGGAGGAGGAGGAAGAAGAGGAGGAGGAGGAGGAATAGGAGGAGGAGGAGGGATGGCCCCGGCCGCGGCCGATCCTGGGACTGGCCCCCCTCGGCCTGGGCGCGCAGGACCGCCTCCCTCGGCCCAGACAGCAGCTACCTGGGGCGGGGGCTGACCTGGCCCTGCTACGTGCAGGCGCTGCCTTGGGAGGACCAGGAGGAGGAGGAGGAGGAGGAGGAGGAGGAGGAGGAGGAGGAGGAGGAGGAGGAGGGAGGAGGAGGAGGAGGATGAGGAAGAGGAGGAGGAGGAGAGGGAGGAGGAGGAGGAGGAGGAGGAGGAGGAGGAGGAGGAGAAGGAGGAGGAGGAGGAGCCCTGACGCACACGAAGGGAGCCCCAAGACGGTCCAAAGAGGCCCCGAACACGCTGCCTTGGGAGGACCAGGAGGAGGTCAGTGCCTTAGTGGGCCTGGAAACGACAGGGCCGTTTTTTTACCGGTTCCGTTTTGCCGCTTTCTTACCGGCTCCGACGCTGTCTTTTTACCGGTTCCGTCGCCGTTTTTTTACCGGTTCTGGCTCCGGTTCCAATCCTGGAGCCGTTTTTTTGCCGTTTCTGGTCGCCGTTTTTTTGCCGTTTCCATTTTCGAGGGACATTTTCTTTTTGAAACGATGAAAAAAACGGCCCTGCCGTTTCCGGGGCCCACAAAAGGTCAGTGCCCTTTGACCGACCCCACCTCCCCATCCCCATCCCCAGCCAGACCCCAGGTGGGGATGGACCCTAGGTGGGGATGGACCCTTCCACCAGACCCTGCCACAGCATGGACCCCACCACCAGACTCAGCACAGACTCAGCACAGATGACCGGACCTTCCACTCTGGCTGAGGATGGATCCCCAGCCAGACCCCATCCACCGACTCAGCACCCCAGGTGGGGATGGACCCTTCGGAACCCGAAGGGAACAGCCTATGTCCCAGTCTGGGAGGGTGGGTCGGCCAGTGGGGCCCAGGAGGAGCAGGAGGAGGAGGAGGAGGAGGAGGAGGAGGAGGAGGAGGAGGAGGAGGAGGAGGAGGAGGAGGAGTGAGGAGGAGGAGGAGGAGGAGGAAGGAGGAGGAGGAGGAGGAGGGAGGAGGAGGGAGGAGAAGGAGGAGGAGGAGGAGGGAGGGAGGAGGAGGAGGAGGAGGAGGAGGGGGAGGCGGGGAGGAGGAGGAGGAGGAGGAGGAGGAGTGCGGAGGAGGAGGAGGAGGAGGAGGAGGAGGAGGAGGAGGAGGAGTGGCTCAACGATGCTCAGGGAAAGGGGAGACCAGGGGAGGTCCCCAGGGGGGGGCCACTGTTGCAGACAGCGTGCCGCTCCCTCGCGAGCCTCCCTGTGGGGGGTGCCCTGAGGTGCGGCGTCGCGAGAAAAAAGTGCCACAGCGGCGCTCTTGCACTTTTTTCTCGCGGAGCGGAGGAGGAGGAGGAGGAGGAGGAGGAGGAGGAGGAGGAGGAGGAGGAGGAGGAGGGGGAGGAGGAGGAGGAGGAGAAGGCTGCCACAGCGCGAAACATCACGACCCCGGCCCTACAGTCAAAATCGAGGATAGGGCTGGGTACTCCAGATTTCGTAATAAAAGGGAGGGGGGTCTGGACCCTCCAAGACAAGCCATTTCAGACCTCCCCCGCGAGAGAACCCTCCAAAACATCGTCCCCAGACCCCCCAGGCCCTCCAAGATAGCCTGGAAGAGACCCCCCCCGAAATGAGACCCCCCTCCCTTTATTACGAAATCTGGAGTAGTCGTCCCAAGGATACCCTTGCATCCTTGCCTCTTCGGTCCGTCCGTGGCACTTCTGATGGCCAGCCCCGCTTGAAAAGCATCGACATGCAACCTGACGGTTCAGTTTTTACTGTAGACCGCGGCGTTCTGCGACATTCTTCCAGTCGGATCGATTTGTGACCGTGCCGGGGCCCGAAACAGGGCAAACTCGCCCGTTATGAAAGATGCGGTGCCGGGCTTTTGCCTGCCTCCGATCCACGTGCACCGGGCGCTGGAACAGGCCCGCGCCCGCAGGATCAATCAATGGCGAGACGTCTTGGCTTGCCGATGCGCACGCCAAAGAATGTTTGAAGACTCGTTTAAGGTTTGCAGACAGTGCTCTTGGTGCACTTCTGGCCGAGAGGGTTTCTTTTCATACGTCGGCTGTGCGGTCTAAGAACATTGTTGTGGTAATTTGTTGCTCTATGAGAATGTCGAGGCCTACTCGGGCGCTGCGTTATGGGGGGGGGGGGCGATGGATGGGGGGTGAAGGAAGGTGCACCTTTCGCGCGCACCTTGGGGACCCCAAGGGAGCCCCATCGGGGCCCAAAAGAGGCACGACAGGCGCACGTTTCTTCGCCCCCCCATGCAATCGCTGGAGGCGACGACGCCGACGACGACGACGACAGCGACGGCGACGGCGACGGCGACAGCGACGACGGCGACGGCGACGGCGGCGGCGGCGGCGACAGCAACGGCGACGGCGACGGCGACAGCGACAGCGCCGACGACGTCTTCGACGACGACGCCGACGACGCCGACGACGCGAGAGGGGAGGGGGCCCGCGGGGCGCCGGTCCGCAGGCGCTCGCTGCGCCCGGCACGGGCCCTGGCCAGATCGCGCCCGTGCCGGTGGCCGCGGGCGAGACGAGGCAGCTGCAGGTGACCGTGCGGCAAGGCGCGGGCAAGGCCCCAACCCCCACTGCCGCCTCTCTTCGCCCCTCCCCCTCCTCCTCCCCAGACCTCCTCGCGTCGTGAAAAAATCACGACGGGAGGTTTTTCCCTATTTTCGGCCTCTGGAGGTCCTTACCGGGCCTCGGGAGCGTCAAAAAACGACTCAGGACGAAGAACCGGCCCCGGGGAAGGGGTCCAGACCTCTGGGGGTCGACGTCGTGAAAAAATCACGACGTCGGGGGTCTGGGTCCGTCCTCCGCCCTCCCCCCCTCCCTCTTTGAACGGGGTGCTGTTGTGATAGAAGCTAACTCCAGCCGAGGGAAAGGGGAGCAGAGACATCCTCACAAAAATCTGATGGTCCGGGCCGTTTCGCTTGAAACATCCTCACAATGCTCGTTTCTGAGTTGGCCGGGATTGGCCGTTCCGCTTGAGACATCCTCCAAACTCTGAGTTCCCAGATGCCGCGCAAGAGGTGGTCTGGCCCGTTTCGCTTGAGACATCCTCCGAACTCTGAGCTCCCAGATGCCGCGCGAGAGGTGGTCCGGCCCGTTTCGCTTGAGACATCCTCCAAATTCTGAGCTCCCAGATGCCCTGCGAGGAGTGGTCCGGCCCGTATCGCCTGAGACGTTCTCCAAATTTTGACTCCGAGCTGCCGCCCAAGGTGGTCTGGCGCGTTTCGCTTGAGACACTCTCGCAAGTCTGAGTTTTGAGATGCCGCGCGAGAGGTGGTCCAGCCCATTTCGCTTGAGACATCTTTGAAACTCTGGGCTCCGAGATGCCGCGCAAGAGGTGGTCCGGCCCGTTTCGCTTGAGACATCCTCCAAACTCGGAGTCCTGATATGCCGTGCGCGAGGTGATCCGGCCCGTTCTGCTTGAGACATCCTCGCAACTCTGCGCTCTCTGATGCCGCGCGGGAGGTGGTCCAGCCAGTTTTACCTGAGACATCCTCCAAACTGTGCTCTCTGATGCCGCGCGAGAGGTGGTCCGGACCGTTTCGCTTGAGACATCCTCCAAACTCTGAGCCCCGAGCTGCCGCCCAAGAGGTGGTGCGGCCCGTTTCACTTGAGCATTCCTCGGAACTTTGAGCTCTGAGCTGCCGCGCAAGAGGTGGTCCAGCCCATTTCGCCTGAGACATCCTCGCAAGTAACTCTGACCTCAGAGATGCCGCGCGCGACGTGGTCCAGCCCGTTTCGCCCGAGACATTCTCGCAATTCTGAGCTCTGAGATGCCCTGCGCGAGGTGGTCCGGCCCGTCTCGCCTGAGACATCCTTGCAACTCTGAGCTCTGAGATGCCGTGCGCAAGGTGGTCCGGCCCGTTTCGCACAAGACACTCTCGCAACTCTGAACTGCCAGATGCCGCGCGAGAGGTGGTCCAGCCTGGGGCCCCAGAAGACCACATGTTACATATCCTCCCTGGGACCCTGGGAGCCCCAGGGGCCCTGCCGCCCAACGACACCGCCTATAGTGCAGTTCGTTGGAGGCGGTGACACCGATCGCCCCAATACTCAGCCACGCGACGAGGGGGGAGGGGGGAGGGGGGAGGGCTTCTTAGAAGCACCCCTGCTTCTTAGAACGCGCGGACCGTATCTATAAATGTAAGGCCGGCGCCTTCTAAGAAGCAGCCTCCTTCACAGAAGACCTCCCCCCTCCGTCCACCCCCTTTGTGCGCGCTGCCAAAATACATCCACGCCAGAAGCGGATTACGCTGCCGAACAAGAGCCACAAGGGGTGACGACGGCACCAGTTGGCCACCTACGCCACCACACGAACGGGCCCCCACCAGGGAGTGGATCGACGTCACACAGCTGCCAGCGATCCACAGCCTGAAGGCCCTAGGAGACCCAAACCCCAGGTGCGCCAAACGGCAACACCGCGCTCCACAAACTCCGAGCCACCTCCTCGACCTCATCAATGACGGGGGGTGGTCACGACATACGACGGCCAACGCGCCAGAAAACGTCCGACGATCCTTCTGCGCAGGCCCTAGAGGGTGTTGCACGAGCCTGGCTCGACGATCCACATCACTGACCTCATCGGAAACACTGTCCAACAGCAGACCAGTGGTACCACGTGGGTCAGCTCCTCCTTCTTCTTCTCCTCCTCCTCCTCCTTCTCTTCATGCTCCCCCTCCTCCTCCTCATCCTCCTCCTCGGAACATGGTAAACTTGGGTTTATAATGTTCCGGGAATTTTAACCGGGGTTCATGTCCCCCTGGAACATAATGAATTTCGGTTTATAATGACTTCGGGACCCCAGCTCCAGACCCAATGAATTGGGTTTATTCTGTTGGAATGATACTAATATTTATTTTCCCCACAACTCCCCGTCACCAGGGTGAGAATTTTATTATGTTAGAATATCGACCTTGGTTTATGATTCCCGGGATATTGCAAACTTGGGTTTATTATTCCGGACTGATAATAATCGAGCAGGGGGGGGACTTGGTTTACTATTTCTTACCGGGACATTCTAAGTTGGGGTCATTTTCATTCTTGAAAGATAATAATGCAGCTGGGAGGGGGACCGACAAGTCCGTCATAAGATCATGCACTGAGGTTCTTCATCTCAACATAATGAACCTCGGTTTATTCTTTCTAACAATCAACCACGGTCGACGAGGATTTCGCACTCACCCTCGTGTGATCTGTTCAACACGGCGTCACCGTCTTCCTTGCACGGACACCGGATACTTGAAAGAATCCCCGAGTACCTCCAGGAACCTCCCAAACATTTTCTCTCCCCCTCCCCCTCGACGACGACGACGACGACGACGACGACGACGACGACGACGACGACGACGACGACGACGACGACGACGACGACGACGACGACGACGACGACGCCGACGCCGGCGGCGGCGGCGGCGGCGGCGGCGGCGGCGGCGGCGGCGGCGGCGGGCGGCGGCGGCGGCGGCGGCGGCGACGGTCGGCGGCACGGCGCCGCGACGAGCTCGAGTGCGACGGGCGCCGCGGGCCCGGAGTTCTCTTCGAAGCGCTGGCGTCGGCGGGCGGGGCGGCGGGGAAGCGGCTCCGGAGCTGTAGAGGCCGCGCTGCCGCGGGCGCGCCCGCCGCCCCCAGCGGGGCGCCGCCGCCGCCGCGCCGCGGCCGCCGCTGCTGGCCGACGCCCCCCCGCCCCCCCCCCCCCCGGGGCCGCTGCCCGTTTCCGAGGACGCCGAGGTCGCCGCCGCAGGGTCGTCGTCAGTCGTCGTCGTCGTCGTCGTCGTCGTCGTCGTCGTCGTCGTCGTCGTCCTCGTCGTCGTCGTCGTCGTCGTCGTCGTCGTCGTCGTCGTCGTCGTCGTCGTCGTCGTCGTCGTCGTCGTCGTCGTCGGCCGCACCGCCCCCGCGTGCGCCCCGCCGTGCGCCCACCGCCCACCGCGCGCTTCGGCCCCCCAGGGCCGCCGCCGTCGGCGAACCCAGACTTCCAACAGACGTACCATAGTGTGCTTCGTGTCTGTTGGGTGTTCTTGTGCATCCCGGGGAGGAGGGTACCCTTGAAGGCTCAGTTATTTTGGCTTGCGGAGGGTCTCATGTTCTTGAGGAAGGATGTTCTTCTGGCCTGGGTCCAGCTGCAGTCGTCGTCGATGAACATCAAGGCAACGGCTTTGCACCAGTGGCGGCCTGTGGCGGCCCTCGCCGGGCCCCGGGCCCGCCAACCACCGCGAAGTGCCTCCCCCCGCACTGTCAAAGATCAAGTCGTCGGATGTTTGGGAAGCCGCCGTGGGCGCCGCCGCCGCTGTCGTCGTCGGCCGCCCGCCCTGGCGTGCGGCCCCCGACGCCCCCCCCGTTTCTTCGGGTGTGCGCCAGCTGCCCGCCAGCCCTCCCTCTCTGCCCGGTCCCGCCTCGACCCCCCCCCCTCCTCCTCCTCCTCCTCCTCCTCCTCCTCCTCCTCCTGCTGCTGCTGCTCCTCCTCCTCCTCCTTCCTCCTCCTCCCTCCTCCTCCTCTTCCTCCCCTCCCCTCCTCTCCTCCGCCTCTCCTCCTCCTCTCATCTCATCCTCCTCATACTCCTCCCTCCTACTCCTCCTCTCTCCTCCTCCTCCCTCCTCCTCTCCTCCTCCTCCTCCTCCCCCTCCCCCTCCCCTCCTCCTCCTCCTCCTCCTCCTCCTCCTTCTCCTCCTCCTCCTCCTCCTCGTCCTCCTCCTCCTCCCCCTCCTGTCCCGATCTCCCGCCCGGGCGGGTCGCTGGCCCCACCCGCTCGACTGCGCGTGGGAGCGAGCCCTGGCCGGAGTCCCCTTTCGGCGCGGGCTCACGATGGGGAGGAGGAGGAGGAGGAGGAGGAGGAGGAGGAGGAGGAGGAGGAGGAGGAGGAGGAGGAGGAGGAGGAGGAGGAGGAGGAGCAGGAGGAGGAGGAGGAGGAGGAGGAGGAGGAGGAGGCGGAGGAGACGATGGGGGCGAATATAGCAGGAGCGACTCGCCCAGGCTCTTCGCTGGGGAGCCTCGCCGAAGGGGTGGACCACCAGCGCCCGTGGATGCATGTAGTGGTCGCCCCTGGGCCATTCGCCCCCGTCGCCGCCCCCGAGGGCTCCACCAGCACTGGCCTGCACACTTGGGCGTGGCCTCTCCGCGGCCCCTCGAAGCCGCGCACCAGAGGGTCGCTCTTGCCCAGGGTCGCTCACTCCTGCGTGTGGCTGGCCCGGCTGAGCTCCGATCGCGCCCCGAGCGGCGCGCGTCCGGGCCAGGCCGGGCGAATCGCGGGCCCAGGGTCGGCTGTCGGGGGCATCCGGGGGTGGGGAGCGGCCCGAGAGTTTTTCGAGAATTCGCGGGTGTGGGGCACGTGCTCTGAGGCCGTCTCACACAAGTCAGGAGGGGAAAAAGCACACAGACACAATTAATCGTCGATTCCCCAGGAAATATTGGAAAATATGGGAAGTGGGGGGGGGAGACAAAAGCCCAGAACATATGAGAAAATATGGGGAATCCAGTTATTTGTGTCTATTTATTTGTGTGTCCCAGGGCCCCTTCA